GTGTGTTCTGTCTCTAAACTTAAAAGACTTCTATCTACTAAACTCTACACTATTGCTATATACTCTACTTATTTCTTAAATAAAAAATGGTGTCGACATTTCTCAATTGTATTTACAGAAGCATCATAATGCTGGGTCACAATGCGAGGTGAGTTTCGAGAGTTCGCGCAATGCCGATGGCAAAAAAAAGATATATATATTTTTAATTTAAGCATAAAAACGGTGCTCAAAGCTGAAAGTAACTTTTCTTTTCTGTTATTATACGCTGTATGGGTAAAGCGTACTCAAATTCCCGAATCTTTAACAAAGATAAATACTCAACAGTTAAATATTGGTTTAAGTTCATTTCCGCTTTTTTCAAAGCTCGACTCGTAAGTTTGAGCTGTGAGGGTTTCATTTTTTTATAAGGGCATTACCTAAAAACTACTATATAATATGACATGATAAGTATTCCTGAAATATTTCTAACCGATCGCTTTAAAGAGGGTTTGCAGTTGATTTTTATTCCTATTTCATTTCTTGCATCGGATTGTTTTATTTGATTTTGTTCTCCATAAGCTGCAAATGAAGTTAACTTTCGATTATAATTCATTTTTGATTTGTCTCTTGTTTTTTCTTAATAAGATACACAGTTTGAGTAGTTTTGAGTCAATCTTTAGTAGCTTAGGTACCATTTAGTAAAAGTGCTAATTATTTACTTAAACATTAAAAAAAAAAAACATTAAGGTAAGTTCTCTCGAGGATATTTTGTCCTCTTTAATAAAAGTGCTCTATAACAACTAAAGTCTTGTATATTTTTAAAAAAGCACTCGTCGTTCTCATAAAGATCTGACACTGCACAAAAAAGTTAATTCACCTGATCTATATATTTTTCGAATGGAAGATGAGTTTCTCAAGCCAAGGATAATAAAGCAAAGTGTTTTGGTTAATTTTTTTAATAAGCAACACGAAAGAAATCAATTCATTTTTTTGTTCTAATCAAATTGAATCACACAATTTCGCATTTACTTACTTTGAATACGAGCAAAATTTTAAAACTAGCAGCTCTCTCTAGTAGTAAATACGTTTCTAATTTCTATAATATAGTAAACACCGCTAATCTGTACAATTGCTTCTTTTCTTCTTGTTTTTTTTTTCTCGACTATTCTTCACCTCTGCCACGATCTGCCTACCCGTCTATCTATACGACTGTCTCCCCCTCTTGAAACGCTCTCTCTGTCTCTCTCTCTCTCTCTCTCCCTCTCTCTCTCTCTAACTATTTCGACACTCAACACGAACTCACATCACACGTATCAACCTGGCTAAATTATCTACACTAATTGTACAACAAATACAACACTCAATTCTCATTGCAAAATTCGAACAATTTAAAAAATACTGCAAATATACCAAATATACCACAATAAATACCACGTAGCGGTAGGCCAGCGCTTTGTAAACGAGATGCTGCAGTCACCGGACCGTCCACGAGATATGCGCAACGGCACATCACGCGTTCCTTCTCGCACCACATAAGCTAAAAGTTGGAAAAACCAAAAAACAATAAGAAATCACAGATATTCTGTACAAAAAAAAAACAGACAACAAGAAATACACATATATTTTGTAAATGATTTTCCAAACAAAAAAAAAAGTAAAGAAACACGAAAGATCAGAAAGTCCAATGGAATTTGGGGTAAGTACCTCAACATGTACATGTATGGTTTGCTATTGCTGTAAAATTGATGAGTTACTCGTAAGGTACAGTTGCCACCTTTTAGAGTTAGTTGAGTCCAAGCGGAGTTTTCGGATGCATTTGATTGCCAACTATTTTTTCTTTGTTCTGCTTAAAGTCCTCTTTAAATTATGTGTTGTTCTCTTTCTCTCTCTCTCTCTCTCTCTCTCTCTCTCTCTTTCTATTTCTCTTGTTCTCCTTGTATTACGTTTTTTTTGTTGTTGTTTAATTCACAGATCGCAGCATATTTATGCGTCCCATTATAAACATAAACGAAAATATTATGCCGTCAACACGAACTCATATGTTGTTTGAGCCAAGCGCATGCAAAATAACCCGATTCCAAAATAAAGCAACATTTTTTGTAGAGAACGTGTGTGGCTTTAGGCAAGTTTTTGTTCAGCCCCACGGCCCACAAATGCTCTTTATAAATCTCGTAAATGTCGTGAACAAAAAAACTAAAACAATTTTTTTTACCAATTAATTAGTAAAAAGTACAATAATACTTGAAATTGCGAAACAAACGAAACGGTGAGCGCTTTTAAGAATTTTTTTTCGAACATTAGCTTAAATAGAAATTTCACTAGCTACCCTCGTACTGTTATTGAACTAACTAACTATATTATATTCAAATATTTTAATTTTTTAAATTTTTGCTATATCATTGTAAATAGTTGCACTTTGCTTACATTATAGTAAATGTATTTAAATGTTTTCAATTACAAATAGAACGGCACAGCTTACTGGATCTCTATATATATAAATATATATATGTGTGGCACCTACGTAAAGCCTCCGCTTGAACCTACAATTGCCCTTTAATGACACGCACACACTTACAGACACGAACACAGACACTAACACTTATGTAAATATATAAAATATTAAATGTGACAATACTTAAGAAACATCAGTAAAAAATCAGTAAAAATATATTTAAATCAAAAAAAAAGAAGCATGCTAGCAAACAAATTTTAGACGCCTAAAATCATAGTGTCAACTAGTTAGACTATGTAAATGCATTGCTGATCAACTATCAGATATCCTGTAAAAGTAACCTGCCCTAAAGTAAGCCAACTCTCTAAAGTATATAACAGCAGTTGATCCGCCTTGTATATACGACTATTTATACATATTAAAAGCTAAAATCAAATGAAAAATGTTTAAAACAGAATTCATATATGTACATAGAACGCATTAGAATTGAACACGAATTGCCTAGAAAATACTAAAGCAAATGTAGACAAACTATTTCTATGCCATCTGCTAATATCTTAACTCTTCTTTGTGCTCCACACTCTACAAAAAAAAAAAACCACAAACACAATATATACATATATAGATGGGGTCGCGGCCCTCGGAGCGGTATTTCAACAGGTCAGCATCCCACCATTATAGACTATCGGACGGGATACATAAGGTCCCATCTTCGTTCACCCTCTGGCCGTGTGAGATGACTGATCTATCGCCAACTTCAGCTGGGTTCCTGCATGGCAGCACCAACGCACACTACCACCAGCAGCTTGTACATCAGCAGCACCACCATCGCCACCACCACCACCAACAGCAGCAGCAGCAGCAGAATCTGCAGCGACAGCATTCGCATACCTCGCTAACCATGATCCATCGGCAGAGCAGCAGCCACAGCGTCCATGGCAGCCGACGTGGTAGCGGCGGAATGCGCGCTCCACCCACCGGCACCGGGCGCCTCTTTTCCTATTTTGGCAATGAGCACGAGCACGAGCATGATCGCAAGAAATCGGAGACATCATTCTTCAATTTGGGTTTCCGACGCAAGTCCACGGTGGTTTATTACGCGCCCACAGAATAGCCGCGGGTTGGCCAACCTGAGCTGAAGCTTAGCTGCTGCATATCAATAGAATGCATGCACAGAAGTACAGTAAACACACGTTTGCAGCAACAGTCAGGCAGCTTAGAGTATGTTTTGAGGCGTACGTACCACACAATATTATATCGTTACAAGTTTATCATATTATTATCGTTGTTGTTGTAAGAGTTTTTATTGAAATCACATGCAGTTCGAATTTTGCTCAAATATTTACTAATTATACGCAACAAGTACGTAGCTCATAGTCGACACGAAATAGAGTTTTCCCAAAGTCACAGAACCCATGCAAAACAGAACCAGAACCAGCAAGAAGAGAGAGATGGAGCCCCTTATATAACTGAGCTCAAATATGCCCCTGAAAATTTACTATGTACTAACTGATATACACAAAAAATATATTAGTTGAGAAACAAGAAAAAAAAACACGAAATTAAATGTAATTAAAAAAAAAAAAAAACAGACAAAATGAATTGAATGATATATCGAAGCCAATTGTTTTTAGCAATTATATAGTATATATAAACTAAATTTATAAAATAAAGAATATATAATTAAACTTTTTTAAGTATACCCACACTACGGCACACCTTGAAAGGGATACTAAAATCCGAAATTTATAACTTATTGTTGAATCAAAAATTCGGTATACTAGTCTAAGGGATATTGTTCGCAGACATCACATCAATTTTAGAGACACATAGAACAAAAATGATCCGTTTAATTGTAAGCTCATTTTAGCAACTAAAAACCAGAGATGGAAGATCCAAAGATTATTTATATACTTGATTCGTGGGTTCTTTTATTTAAGGTGTGTTTTTATTTGTAACAGAACCGGAACGGATTTTAATGTTAATTGTGATTGTTTTTGAAATGTTCGTGTGTTGTTTGTTATTTAGCTAAGTGTTGTGTGTATTGATCCAAAAATTGAATAACCGAAACCGATCTGTTTTAGTGTTAGTTGTTGCTGGGGATTGTATGATTGAATCCTGATGCATCCACACAAGCATTCAATGACTGAGGAGCGTTCGCTCCCTTGTTCGTGGCGGCATGGCGACATGGAGCTCGAATTGAAGCATACAATTTCGCAGCTGCCTACTTTGTAATTGTATTGAATTATGTAGCCACATCCAATAATTGATTTGTGATAGTTTTTAAAGATGTTTAATAGCCAACTACATAATGCTACTCCCACCCAAAAAAGGAGGCAGCTGTCAATGTAGCGGCAAACTGTAATTGTAATTGTAAGCCACAAAATAATAAACAACAACAAAAGCCACTACAAAAAAAAAAAATGGCAAATTGTTTGCTTCTCTTTCATTTCTCTTGGTTGCCTTGAGCTAAATGTCAGTTGGTAAAAAAATCTCACATGCGGACATACAATAAAGAAACCTCAGTACAAAAACATCTCTCATTCAAATTGAAACCCTTCCAAAATTTGTTAAAATTCTAAAAGGATCAAAAATAAATCAAAGTTCGAACTAACGATTTATTCTTCATATTTCGCGGATAGCTTGGGCCGATCGTAACTAAATCGTTTCAGTTCAGTCGTGCACACAACTACCGCGATATAAGAGAAACGTGACGCCCGGCGATCAACGGGCGGCAACATTTAATTTGGTTTTCCAAGGTCTTGTGTTTTGTTTGTGTTTTGTTTCAAAAATAATAACCTTTAACGGAAAGTCCTTTTGCACTCGATAAATCATAAAGTTTGCAAATTTTACTTGAATTGTGTGCGTTTCGTTCGTGATTGTACAACTCAGCCTTAACGTGGATGTCAATATGAATAAGTTTGGTAAGTGGAAAGAATATCATCATAAATGTTAGTTTTACTATAAATTGTGTATTGTGTACAAAGCATTTATAAAAGTTTCTTTTCGAACTAAACAAGTTTTCTGCTTCGAACACTGCATGGTATTTTGACTTAAAACTCTATACAATATGGTCTATAAAAAAAGTCGATATACATAAAATTCGAATATATATTCATTCTGTCAAGGCACTTAATATTAACAATACATAGAAAAAGAGATTGGACGGACTTACGATTTAGTCTACATATACGTAAATATATATTCGAGCATGGAATTATTGTTTTTAAGGCACAATTAACACTTTATCGATTGTTTCTTTTTTGTACTGTCCTACAAACTGATATATGGATAATGTATTTTAAATAGCAGACCAGACTGCTTAAGACACTTTAATCTATTTATGCATATATTTATATATGTATAAATATACCACTTGAATTGTGTACCCGCGGCGCCGGCTCCTGCCTGCAGCCGGCAACGGCACAAATGGAAATGGAGGAGTTGCCCAAAACGCAGCGGTCGTCACTGCCCACCGGCGCGCTATTGCCCTGATATGACTATGAAAAATGTGTGAAAATATTTTTTGTGTACATGTCCAAGTCCAGTTACCTATCATTTTTTAATGAAAAAAGAAGAGTTGGCTATTTTTTTGTTGCCCTGGCAGGAGACCAAGTCCAAGACCAAGTGGCTGATAAACTGGTTCCTGTGGCGCATAGAAAAAGTTCTCAGGGTATAGATAATAAAAATTCAAGCGCATATGATAATCAAGGCGCAAAAAAAGGAAACGCTGGCATATTTAATTCAGGCAACAAAAAAAACGGCCAATGGACCATCGGACGCCGCAATGTCGACGATTTAATATAAGAAAAACACGACGGCAGGCGTTCGGTTATTTTTTGCTTCTACTTTTTTTTTTTTTTTGCCATGCCCAGCCGCTGGCCAGGCAGGAAAGGTGTGCGTGCGGCACAAACAACCCTCAGCCTGGCTCTAGAGGATGGGTGTAGGTACGGGGCCTAACTGGGTTTTGATGTTAACAGGTTTGCAAACTCTGAGCAAGCACACACGCACACAGCTGTGCAGCTTCACGGACATTAGCAAGGGCCGCAGTCGCACCATCAGCAGCAGCAGCAGCAGCAACAACAGCATCAGTAGAGACGACGCTTCCGTAATCTGAGCGCAGTAGGCGCGGCTGTTTGCGCTTTTCTGGTGCTGCTGCCGCTTTTGATAGAAATGACAAATAACCAGATTCATTGTAATAGATTATGTCTACAACTTAATCGCCTTGCAGATAAATGATGACAATGTTCAAAGGCGCATCTAGAGAATATAAAATATATAAGAGTACATATATATAAAAATATATATAGAATTCGGAACGGACAACTTGGTTGGGTTTTCTGTGATTTTTTTTTTCGGCAACAGCGCGTTTTGTTTTGGGTGTCAATTTTGTGTCTTTGAGTTGCTGTTGCTTTGTCAGTTTTCTTTACGTTTCTTTTTTGTTTTTACTTTTTATGAAGAGTTTGATGTGAGCTTCGTGTGGACGGAAATTGAAGTTAGATATTTGGCTTATGGACGTTTAACTAAATCTAAAAAGTAGCGTTAAAGTAAGGCCAATCAGTGAGATGACCAGACCCAGCGCCGATTGCAAGCCCGATGCGCCCGCCAGGCGACACTTGAACATATCGTAACGCGTCTCCTTATCGGCAACAATGTTTTGATACTCTGCCTCAACCAACTGGCCGTCATAGTAGGTGATTAGATCCTCAAATGGATACTCATAGCCCTGCAGGCACTCACATTTATAGCCGCCAGTCTCATATCCACGTCCCATGATGGGCACACACTGTGAAAATTCAAAATATTGGTAAGCGTTTAAACTTAGATAAAGTGAATACTTACATATGAGGTCTTTTCATCGCACTTGTGCGTGCCCTTAAAGGCATTTGGTTCGTAGTACCAGTCCGGGCACTGATTAATGTCCAGCTGCATCATGTCCATGGACACAGCGACCACACCCCTGCGAGAAGAGTCAACAAATTAGTCAGTTTAATTGCTCACATTTGCATGACAATGCGACTGAAGAGCCACAAGTCATAAGTTAGGCCATGTCAACACTCGAAAATTAGACAATCAAATCATAGAAACTACAAACAAAACATTTGCATGTGAATGGCAATGGGATTGGGAACGAGTATGGGACTAGCCCTAAAAGGGGTGAGCAGGCCCGCGACGGCGGCACGCAGCGGACCGGCCCAACAGCCCGTCCAAAACCTAAACGAAAATTAGGCCCTACCCTTTTTATGGTTTACTTACTTGAATTCCAGTTTGACTTTGAGGCTGTCCCACCCAAAGAAGGGCACCGCATAGGTCACCAACCACTTCTTGACATAACCATCGCAATCGAACTGCGGCTGAGTCCAGTAGCCGTGCTTGATGTTTGCGGCGCGATACGAGTTGGGGTAGTGCTCGTACTTTTGCTGGTATTCACCTGTCTCATTGTGACGTATCTTGATTTTCATGTAGAACGTCTCTAGATCATCAAAGTTCGTGTTCCAGCGCTGTTTGAGGAACTTGAAGTACTTCTTCTCGGTGTAGAGCTCGTGCGTTTTGTTGAGACGCGCCAGATCCTCCACCTTGAACTTGCGCGTGTTCAGCTCCGTTTTGTATGCATAGGGTGCAAAGTATGTGCGATTGGTGAACTTATTGCGCTCCCAAAGCGTTGACGCCGACCAGACCTTACTGTCGCCAAGCACAATGGCCAGGGTCTCGCCAATCATTTGATCCTCGGTCAGCGGTTTGTCCGCCACACGTTTGCCCGAATATACCTCATTGGGATCCGATATCTATGCAATACAAATGTTTAGCTAGAGTCTGTTCTTAATATTATTTCTTTTTTCTTTTTGGAAATCAAAAATGTCCCCAAGCATTTGGATTTGTATGCTAACAACTTGAGCAAATATGAGCATAAAGAAATATACAAGGCTAGAGGGAGGGTTAGAGGAGTCCAGTTTATGCGAGCTTGTGCTTCTCGTTGCTGCTGCTGCTACTGCTGCTGCAGCGTCTGAAGCTGTGGCATTTAATGAAGACGACGCCTTGTGGCGAACCCGTTTTTCGTGTCCTTTGCGCTCAAACTAATGAATTTAGCATTTGGTAATGGTTTGACACTGAATATTTAATTCACGCCGCGGCTGGCAACTGCCAACTGGCAATGTATAACTGAAACTGAAACTGGCATTGCAGGAAATTCGAGGAAGTTGAATTACGCGTGGAAAATTATAATTTACACTTGAGAAGTTTTCAAGAGGCGACATCGAAGGCGCTTAATAGGTGTCGGGTTTATCAATTATTGCTCTTCATTTAGCGTGAAGGCGATGGGAAACAGTTTGAGCCCTTTACTAGTTGCACGCGCTTACCTGTAAAAAGGCGCTAATAAAGTTGGCCAGACGCACGGCCATCTTCGCTTCGTTTTCGAACTGCTCCTTGGCGCCAAAGCTAACATCGCCGCGCAGTATCAAATCTTGTGGATGGAAGCTGTCAGGATTAAAGGCCATATTAATTAAACGTACATAACTTCAGATTTCGAGCACTCACTTCTTGCATGTGCGAAAGTTGACGCCGTGAATATACTTCAGCGCCTGATCAACGTTCACATGCTCCGTGTGCAGTGCTCTGGAGCCTGTCGTATAATTGCGATACTCGGAATGCAAATCTAAGTACTTCTCGCGTATGTGATAGGGCGCCTTCTCCCACTGTATGGGCAGCTTTTGTATCCCTGCAAGAGACAATATATTGAACAATAATGTGCAGATTCTAATTTTATTAACCTACAGCCAATTTTGAGGCAATTGTATTCATTGTAATACTGTTCCGCCGAGGCGCGTTCCACAATCTCGCCAAGATAGGGTCGCCGTACTGTGTTGGGCAGTCGGTAGCCCGGCTTGCAGCGACACTGATAGCCGCCACGTCTAAAGCCCCAGCCGTGTAATGGCTCGCATTCGGTTGTTTCCTCTTTACATCGTGCCGTGCCTGCAAAATGATTCGGCGGCTTGTTACCCTCGCCCAGCGGACACTGATTGATGTCTATGCGCTCAAAGTCCATTTCCAGTACGGATACAGCAGTATATCTAAAAAATAAGTCTAGGATTAGCTAGGCTAAGGTGCAGACAATTGATTTTCACTCACTTGGGATACTCGATGTGACGGAACTGAGTGTGCCTGGGATAAATGTCTGCAATGGGCACCACGGCCGCCACCAGCCACTTGTTAGATCGTCCGCAGTCGAAATAAGGGCGTGTAAACTTTATCGGTCCCGGATTCTCTTCGGAGCCAGGCGGACCATGGAATGTGAATGTTTCATTTGTATTGTTCGCATAGCGAATCTCCACTTGGTAGGTGATCTTTGTGTCATGCCGACCATCGACATTGTCCGGCAGCCAGGCGCGATACCATTCATTTATTTTATAAAAATCATGTGTGTAATCTTTCGATATGGTATCGGGATGATGAGCGCCCAAGTCCTGCACATCGAAAGTGTTCCACGTGGAAATCTTTTGCAAATGTATGGGATCATTGAAGTCATCCAGACGGAAAGTACGCGGCCCAAATCGTGGGAAGGTCTTATTGAAGAAGCCACGATACGACGAGGAGTACGAGCTATTGGGCGCAAAGTAAATGGCCGAGGCGTTAATGCTGGGGTTGGCCGAAACATCTGCCACGGTGGAAAGGAAATAGTACATCATGCCCGGATCATAGGTATCATTGATGGCCGGACGTATGAAGCGCGACTGCAGTATGTAGCTCCAAAAGAAGCTTCGACTCAACGCCATGTTTTGCAGATGCAGCAAGGCCGTGCGATTGGGAAACACGGGATTTACATTCACCTCTTTGATGTCCGGCTTGTGAGAGACGGCATCCAGCGGCATAAACAGATCCGCATGATGCTGTATGGGACAGTTGTCAGCATTTACCTTGTCAAACTGTATTTTGATCTCATCAAAGGGGTCGCGCGCCTGCCACTCGTGCTGGGCGAACACGCCCACGACTAGCGCCAGCACAAAAAGCAGGTAGCTGCGCCCCAAAATCGTTGACGGCAGAAACAAAACCATGTTTGTTTGTGTGTGGTCGAGATTGCCGCCTACCTGGGCAGCTGAATCAAAGTATTTGATACACTTTTTAACTTAAAAACAAACTATATTTAAAATGAGATTCCAGCGCATGCAGCCACACGCAACGCGATTAGTAATACAAATTAATGCTTTGCACTTGTTGGAACTACGCCCTCAAAATCAACAGTGTTGCAAGCGGGTTGTTGATATGGCATCGATATATCGATAGTGCTGCATGCGTTTCTATTCGATTACTATCGATGTTCCTCGGTTCATTACATCGACTGAATCAGTGAACAAGCTCTGATTTTAAATACACCGCGCATTTTTTTTTTTGTAAGCCTATAGCCCGTTTTTTTAAAAGGTCAATCACTTACATTTAGCGCCCCCGCCGCCAACTCGTGTACACATGTATTTATAATTATGCATATTGCTGTTACACAGTTGACACTCCATTTATTATAGCTCCGCATGTGCCAGAAATGACTGCAGCGGACATTTTTGGGCGCCTGCCAGTAAAAATCAGGCAATGCCCGTCCGATGGAAAACTTTATAGATCCGACATTGATAGCTGTTTTCATTATTCACAAACCGGTAGAAAACGTTGCAAACCGCAACGAGGTCAACACAGATATTTGGCAAGTTGTGCAAGGAGTCTCGTGAACCGCAACCATTTCCTGGCTCCTATCACTGTCAATCTGTTGTGTGCGGTTGTGTGTGGTTGTGTTTGCTCCTCTGCCTTTTGTCGCCACCTGCGCTAAATGACACGAATTAGCGGCCACTCGCTGCATCCTACGCTCCCTTTTTATTCCCCAACTGCATTACATTGCAGCGGTGCCTCTCGGTCTTTTCGGCCAGTTCGTTTGGGTTATTTATTACACCTGTCGTTTTGCTTGTTTTTTCGACTCTGTCGTTATTTTTCCCCGTTTTTGCCCAGTTGGATTACAAAGCCAATTCTCTACTGGCCAAAAAAAGAGTAGCAAAACTTAAATTTGGCACAAACATAATTTTCAGTTTGTCGACTGACATTTCCGTGTCTGTGTGTGTGTGCGTGTGTGTAAGCGCGCAAGTGTGCTTGTCTGTGTGCGGTAGGCACTGTTTATCCTGCTGCCGCACCTCACAATGCAGATAAATCTACGCGCCGCTCGCATTGTTTTATTTTCCACGTGGGAATCGACACAACAAAAAAACTGCAACTGCCCAAAAATGTTGCAGCTATTTTGCTTCGTTCTTGTTTTCCGTTTTCTGTTCTGTTTTAGTTTTGTATTCGCCATGTTTATTTTGCTGGGCTGTCTGTAATTGATTGTTATTGTTGTTGCCGTGTCCTAAATGGGTACGCCAATTGCGTTGCGACACAAGTTTATTGTTGGGCTTTTCGGGCTGTAGAGGGCGCTTCTAGGTCCCGTTAGCAGTTAAGCTCAACAAGATTAAAGTTTAATTTGAAAATGTGCCAAAGCATTAAAAGTATCCAAACTGCATGAGCCCCGGCTAATGAAGTTGGCAAGCTTCCTACCCTACCGCTTTATCTCATGTGCATGTGTATAGAAATTTCGGCTAGAATACAATTTGCGTCTTTGTTGGATTTGATAGATAAAACCAGCTTTGTACTTTCCTCGTATCTATCGATAATTTTTTTTACAGTTAAATTGGCTTATAAAATGCTTCAGTTCGAACCGGTTCTCTTAGGTTTAAATGGTAAAAGTATTAAATTCTTTTAAAAATAAATTTTAGCTGTACTAAAATAAACTGATTAAAATATTTAAAATATTCAACAAGCTGTTGGTTTAATGAGCAACAAAGCAGCACAAATTTTGATAAAACTTTATCAAGCGTCTTGCAAATAAAAAAATATATAAAAAAAAATATCCGCACAAAAAAATCAACAAAAATACATCAAATGAAGTGTATTGCGCATTCATTGAAATCTTTGCGCAAGTTCAAAAAACCACAGGCAATAAAAGCAAAACGACGACAACAACAAAGCGAAAATAAAAAAAAAAAACAAATAAAATGAATGCTTTTTTGCATGCTAATAACCAGACAGAGAAAGAAGCCAACAATTTAAACAAAATCAAACAGAAACGATATAAAACAAAAGCAAAAACATAGAAGTGCAGAGCTTGAACCTGGACATGCCTTTGGATTTGGACATATGCAAAGAGTGCGCTGTGACATGTCTGCGATCTTTGGATTGCATTTGGTTTTTGGCATTGCTTTCCATAAGCAAAGCAGCCCCAAATTTGGGATGTGCCTGTACGTGCTGGGCGTCACAGCATCAACAACCTCGCCAGCAGCAGCCGCAGCAGCAACAACAATGCTAAGCACTTCCATCCCAGCCAGCCAGTAACAACAACAACAAATAACTCACAAACACACACACACACACAAAAGCGGCCTAACACAGCGCAAAATTTTTTTTGTCAAGGGTGAATGACCCAGAATCAAAATCCACAACGTTGTCGTTGCCTTTGCCGCTCGCTGGCTGGCTGGCTGACTGCCTGCCGCTTGCCCCTGTTCCTGCTCAGTGCCCCCAGTCAGGCTGTTGCCGCCGCCGACGCCTCCTGTTGCCGGCGTCGTCTTCTTGCGCAGCCCCCATGCCGCCGCACTTGCCCCAACAATGTTGTGGCTCGGTCTCGGGCTCTCGTATTCGGTTTCGGCTCCTCGGGCTGTTATGATTGCCGTTGCCAGACGATAACCCAAACCAACAGCAGCAACAGCAGCAAAAACTGAAAGAAAAAAAAAAAGAATTGCGAATTTAAACATTTTGCAGCATTGCACACGCGACTCTCGCGCGCGCTCTGCCAGACCGTCTGAGAGAGATACAGAGAGAGATACAGGGCCGACCCACTCACAGTACAGATACAGATATAAATGCCAGACTATGCTGGAGTTGCTTTTGGCTTTTGTGCTGTGAAATATTATCGTGGCAAACGTACAGCGTTAATTGCGTTACACACCCGCAAAACCCCACACCCCCCTCCAAATAGTGCAGCACTCACTAACATAACTCGAGGGCTCGCTCCATTGCATCCGTTAGATACTTTCTTTCTTTGCGCTGCGCACTGCCAGGCTTCATTGGACTTCCGTTGAAATGGCCGCTGCTGTTGGGCCAGGCAAGTGGCCGCCAAATCAATCTTCATTTGTTCAGCGCATCACAGAGAGCCTGTCGGCATATATCAGCATTATGATTATGCCCCCTGGACACAGCAGCAACATCAAAGTAATTTGAGCAGCAACAAAAGCTCTGAAAGGCCAACAACTTCCACACACGCACACACACACACTCACACACTCACAACACACAAAGCAGCAATTAAAATTGACCCAAGATGTTGTCGCACTGTGGAACCAATGCGAAACATTAGATATTTCAATTGAGCCTAAGGCTGCCTAATATTTAAGAGCGAGGGGAAAAGCTTTTTAAGTGTTCATCGTCGCTCGAAGCGTTACAATTCGCAACGAGTTAAAGCTTTGCCGCAGTCACGAGTGAAAAAGTGGGTAAAGTTTCAGATGCACACTATGCGCAAAATGCACTACTCTTAGGTGGAAAAAGACTTCAAGGAACTTTATTAATACGTAATTCAGTGAAATTATCGGAAAATGGGTGGAAAAAAATAACTTGACCCGCTCAAAGCTGGATTATCTAGCCGATACTAACCGTTTAGCATTCTAAATAAAAAGGTCCTTCAATATATATAGATATATTTTTAAATATAAAGCAGTTATTCAATTTGAGTAAATATATTTGAAGTTGCAGCTGCCGACTTTCAACCACTGTGCAAAATTGTCGTCGTCGTCTCGGGGCCGCACGAAAACCTGAAACAGCCCGTGTCTCACTCACCGTCTGGGCCTGTCACCTAATTTCCGTTTTAGAAAACATGTCCTCGGGCCAGCCAGCGAGCCACTTGAGAGTATCCGTTGGCTGACATGTGTCCTACCTTTGGCTCCTACGTCTGACTGCACAACTAGCTTGAAGTCATTGCTAACTTCCATTTGGCACGAAGACAGAAGCAAATAGTTTTTGTAATTCAATTGTTGTCCTTGTCACATATGGCGATTGTCGTTGCTGTAGGTTCCTGACCAGCCGCAGGCCACAGTTTGCAACTGCAACACTTTGCCCCGAGGCATGCGAGGCGTTGTGCCTCGCTGAGTTCTAGACTTGTGCGCGCTCCCTTCAAGGACCTACGACAATAGCAAAACTTGTCGAGCACGAGCGCAAAAGGAATGACCTGACAAGCAACTAGCTCCTCGGGCCCGGACCCGGACCCGGACCCGGGCCTGTGCTCGGTTAGTGCAGCAGTTTCTACGAGCTCTGGTCATTTGCCTGCCCCTCGTGCCCTTTGGCAGCGTTGAAATTACTTTTGTATTCCAAATGGGGAAAACCCGTTCTCAATTCTCTAATTTTTCTTACACAGCATTTTTGTCACTTTCATGAATTCAAGAGCTGGGCAAAGGGTAATGAAATATTTTATTTAGAAAGAATTGGGCCAAGGAAAGAATGCCTTTTTGACAGCAAATATTACATGATATTTATTCCTAATTACTTATCCAATGTTAATTTGGTGTCTCTAAGGAAGTAAACCTCTTTATATTTTCAAAATAATTATTAGTTCTTATCTTAGTAATCAAATAGGGCATTAGAAAAGTTCAAATTATACTTTTTTGTCGAACCAAATGGAGATTGAATAGCAATTAAAAAAACTGAAATGTGCATTCAATTTGGAATGCAATTATCTGCACTTTGTGGCCAGCAAATACTTTCCCAGGGTGAACTGGCATGTAATTTATGCGTATTCATTTCATAGCTGGCCTATCCCGCTTCCTGTCCGTCTGACTGTCCGTTTGTCCGTCGGTTTGTCCGTCTCTTCTGCCTGGACACAATGGTTGCCGCCATGCCTCTTTCAATCCTTGCGATTCGTTATGCATTGCAATACACAAAAGATATCGAAAAAGGATTCTCGCATATCGCACAAAGGCGATGCAAGCGCGGCGCGTCCGTTGCATTGCTCCTTGCCTCATTATTCGAGCATATAATGCCATTTTTGATATGTAAATAAATAACAAGGCTGACTGCCTGGCCGTGTTCTAATTGCCGCAAAGGACCTGCCCTGGAACTGAGGCTGTGCTGTTCTCTGCTCTCTGCTCTGCTTTGCTGGCTGGCAGGCATCCTGCCAAGCTGGACATGCAATTGCATTGCATTTGGCATTGTTTTTCAACATCTCTGCTTTCCGCTTAGGGGTTGAGTTTCAAGTTCTCTGCTGCTACGGGGTTATCGCACGATTACAAAAGATTTCCTCTGGTCAACGGCGGCAAGGCACAACATGCTTATAAAATAAACAACAGAACCATAATGCAAATTTAACAAATCCACGAAGGAAACTTGCAGCGGAAGTTGCGCGCACACATTTTCATCAGAAACTTGGACCAGGAGCAGCTAAGCAGGAGCTGGGGAGAAAGGGCCGGCATTGCCATCTGGATGCAGTTGCTAGACTCACGCACATTAACTTTTATCTATGAGATACTTTTGTATCTTGCAGCTGGCAGCTGCAGGCAACAGCACGGCGGCAACTGGTGGCCGACTCTTGAGATATACATCACCCAAGTGCTAGGCTCTCGCTCTGCTCTGCTCCTCTTTACTCGGCGAAATCGAAGTCATATATCAGCGATATCCTGCATGCCAAAAGGATAATGTTGCTTAGAGCATCCCTTGGCTGTGCCCTCTTCTAGCTCATGTGCACGTTCGACCTTCGACGCTGTCATTGAACCCCAGCGAGGGAAACTGCATGGCCTGCGAGAGGGGGTGGGTGGTGGGCAAGGGAGAGAGCGTTGAGCTGTGAGAGGAAGCCATTGCACTTATTATTATGTACTCATTATGTGTTCATTATATGAACTTACCTACAAGTCCTGCTCTACTCTTCAGTGTTTTATTTTGTTTTAACTCACTCACACACACATGCACACATGCACACGCACACGCACACCCTCACCCTTGCCCCAGCGACCGTACTGACCTATTCCTCTGGAAATGTTGTATGGGTTGGCTGGCAAACAGCAAAAGGTAAAAAGCACAAAGCGATTTTTTTAAATTTACTCATGTGTAAACATATTTAAAGTTTATGCTCTTTGCCCCAAGCGGCCACTCGAGTGCTGCAGGAGGGGGGGGAGTACACAGCAGCTGCTGTACACACATTTACACGACTTGGAAGATTATGGACTTCAAATTGACAAGCACGTCATGTGTAAATGTGTCCCATAAATCATTTTCATTCTTGATGAAACAACAAAATCGAATTTATATATATATTTATTAAAAATAATACAAAAATAAATGAAGCAAAACCTGGTTTCATGGCTGTGGAAATCGAGGTTCACGAGCCAGACCTGAGGCTAGGCAGTTGGCATTTTTAATTCCACTTTAGCTTTCCGCCAATTTACCACTGTTACGGGTGGAATTTACCAAATCGCTGAAACCCGTATTCATTATATTCTTATGTAGAGCTTTGAAAAATCAAGCAAATCGGGAAAAAATAAAACTTATCACAAAAATTTTTTTAATCGCATTTCTACCGAAGAAGTTTGAACTCTGCGAAAAGTGAGAAACTCTCAAATGAATTTTTATATAGATCTTTGGAAATGAATTTGAGCGCGAAACGTCACCCACCAAATCTTTGACCGATCGGATCGTAAACAAAAAAGTTACATACAAACGTTTTTCTCGATTTTTCCACACTTGCGGGTGGAAATTCCCGAAACCCCGTCGTAACGTGCACCTATATCACATAAGGTAACTGCAGTGAAAATTTCAACTTCCTAGCTCTTACGGCTTGGGCTGTGCGTTGATCACCAATCAGTCAGTCAGTCAGTCAGTCAGTCAGTCAGGACAAACAGTTTTATATATAGAGATTAGCAGTAAAAACAATAATAAAATGTAAATTAATTATTTTGTATAGAAAATATTCATTTTTCACGAGGCAAACCTGAAGTTAGAAAGTTGGTTCGAAACGTAAACCTGAGGCTAGTCAGTTGGCAATTTTGATCCTACTTTAACGACAAATATTTTCAAATATTTATATATATATATATATATATTATATTATTAGCAATAATAAAAAAATAATTAATGTATATAAAACATAACAACGTTATACTTGTATAGGAAATATTAATTTTAGTTTTGTAACTGCGATCAGATCAATTATCAACTCGATTAACGTTCCATTCGCTTGTGCATGCATTGACTGTACCTTGCACAGTTTTTGCCAGTTGAAAGCATTTAGAGTTTCAATCCTGATTCAATTTCAGCTAACCGAAATGCATTCTGGCGTTGGAGTGCAGCCGTTTGCTGCACTTTTGCCAGCCAGGCGGGCAAATATGATCCCTTGGCTCGAGATTATTGGCAATTGACTGCACTTTTCTTTCTTCTTCTTTCTCATCTTCTGTGGCTGCCACCTTAACAAATTGTTTTAACACCTTGTTCAGACCAAGGGAGGCATTCGAAAATTGAAAATCGATATTTGGAGGGAAGGCTAAGGATGGAGCCAGGCAACACCTTTAACAGACCTGAGCAGGATGGTGGGGGCCTGTGAGGGGTATTGAATGTAATTAAAAGGAGTTGGATTACACGTGCTGCCAGCCTGGCAGACAGTCGGGCAGTCAGGGAGTTGGGACAACAAAAAATACACACAACGTCCGTGGCGCAGCAAGCAGGAGCAGGAGCCGGAGCAGGGGTAGGAGCTGGGACAAAGTTCTTCTTTTCACTTAACACACAAGTGAAGTGAAGCAACCAAGTCGAGCAGCGCTCTGGACGAGCACACGCTACGTCTGCGCGACGCAATCGTCCTCTTAAAATGCACTTTAAATGGCAGTTTCCGGTCCCACACACACACACACACACACACACACACACACACACATGCACTCGGCTTGCATAGAAATGTATAAGCATAATAAAAAATACAATGCGAAACGTTAAGTAAAAGCTAAAAGGAGTCGCGCTGTGCCAGGAGCAGCAATGCACCGCTTGGTACATACTGTACCCACACTCACACACACACACACACTGGCACACATACACACGCTGTCATGTTCGCCATTAACTTTGTTCTCGTCCTTCTTCACATGAAGTTGCAGCAAAGCGCTTTTTATAGGCCTACCCCTTGCATTTCTGAGGTGTTTGTTTGTGTGAGTGTGTGTGCGTGTGCGTGTGCATGTGTGCATGTGTGCATGTGTTTGTGTTGCATGCAATGCAACCGCTTCTCATATGCTTAATGCAGTTTATATAGATTCTTAAAGATTAAATTCCCAAAATATATTCCAAAATAGAAAGAAAAAATATGAATATAATATATATAATCGGCTTAAATTATGTGAAAATAGTTTTCGATATTCCATTTGATTTTTAATACTCGTTATAAATTGAAACCCTGAAAAAAGCTCAGTAATTCAGTTTACGGCGCGAGCCAATGCAAATTGGTTCAATGAACCCAGAAATTTGTTCGAGCCTTGCTTCGACTTATACTACCACAGTTTGGAATTCAAAATCTTAATGGGTTTTCCTCACGTAACTATATTGCATATAAAGATGTGTAGAAAATCATCATGGGGCAATATATTTATGAAACTGCTTGGTTCATAGTGTGAACCAGCTCGGCTTAGAAAGGGTTCGCAGCCTTGTTTAGTTCATATTTAATGTTAAGGACTTCAATTTCAATTTATACATATTTCTTTCTCAATTCTTTACTTGCAGTTGCGCACAACATAGCACGGGAATCGTATCGGGCCTACAACAGTGAGATATACGCCTCCCGGAACAGCTCCGTGGGTCAACATGGCGGTGAGTGGAACCAATTCAATTAATTAATTCTGGTTGTGTGTACGGTTGAGGGGCGGCGGGCCTTTTCGCCTCCCCCCCTGTCTGGTTCGTGGCAATTTGTTTTTGCAAACACTTAAAAAGATGCCTTACAACCTGAAAACTTCAGTCGAGTCACTTTTGGCTCTCGGCGTCGCGCAGGTTGCGGAAATGTTTTTGTTAGCTAGCTCCGGCCGTCACATCCTGCACATCCTGTGTCTGCCCTGTAGGAGTAATGTAATATCTGGTGTTGCCGCTTGTCGGCGAGACACCTCAAGGACTTTTTGTGTGCCACAAATGGCGTGGCCAGGACTTACGTTTAGAGACGTGACCCCCTCCGCTCATAGAGCAACTGGCAGTTGTTCTTCATCATCAACTGGCTTTGCCATGCTGTTGCACACACATTGGTGTAGGTCCAGCCGGTTATACATATACATATATGTATATGTATATGTATGTGCCACATGCCCACTTTGGCGCCGAGTGCGCTTACAACATAATGCACATACATACATACATATAAGTGCATATAAATATATGTGTATATACATGCATATGCAAAAAGTCTTCGCGCCTTTTGCCACATGCAGCACGTTGCGCTCGGCCCCTATGTGCTCCACGGCTGCCGCAAGCAGCTCGACCTGTTCCGTTGCAACCAACGCGATGTCAGCACCTTTGGCTGCCTTTACAATTTCATTTTCATTTCTTCTTTTTTTTTCGCGACTGCTGCCACTGCAGAATTAATGGGTTAAGTAAATAGCTACGTAATATGCTGCAGTGTGCCCGGTGCCCGGGCAGGGTCTTGCACGCATTGGCCAGAGGGGAGGGAAGAATGTTAAGAAGTGCCACTCGTTGCGGCGCTTCACATGCGGCAACGTTTGGCTGCCACTGTCGCCGGCCTCAGGGGGAGAGAAGCTGCCTTAAACGCTTTACGTGCAACGTGCAACGTGCAACGTGCAACGCGCAACGTGATAATGTCAATAGCTTCTTGAATGTATGCACAGTCAGACAAGATCTCAATCCGTTGCCTGCAAAATTCAAAAGTGCTACTATAAAATGAAAATCAGACTTAATTTCATAGAACGTTTAAGCTGCAAGCCAACAAGCATAGTTTGTAATATTAATTAAAACATGTTTCGGCTCGTGCCGATTCGGCTTCAAAATAGTTGTCTAATAGCTTATGACAAATAATTGTATTGCAATATCTGTGAACGGTTCAAATCTAATCTAATTAACAAACATAATCAACGCACAACCCTCAGCTCGTCAGATCCTTCGAATGGTCGTATTCAATATTCAGGTATTTGTGCTTTAAAAAAATATATATATGGCTAGATTTCATTTTAAGGCCTCAAATTTTGCGTGCAGCCTTAGTGCTGCCAGCCAAGTTTGAACCGCCGAGCCGGTGCGAACCCAACCAAAACCCGAACCGAAGCAAACATTTTTTAATTTTGTATTCACAATAATCTCTTGGGGTGACTCTGCCAATAAGCATGAACAGCTTGGGTTCTTTTCATTCAATTTATCTGGCCTTTTCAAAGTTCGGCCCCAACTTCTATATGAAAATTTGTGCGACATGCAGGAAGCTGGTTCGAACCTTGAACCGAACCATCGACCATAATTCCACTCAAAGGCACGAACAGATCTGCAACCGGCCACCTCTTGTTGCACCTTTAAATGTAGGTAAATTATTGCCCATTGCAAAACAGTCCAAAAAAGCAAATGAAAAATCGCCATGTGCACAGATTTAACTAGCAACCCTCTGCATCCCCCCCCCCCCTCTCCCCCCTTTCTGGTCACATCTCTCCTGCGTTGCATGCCGCGCCATGTGCAAGCTGCAGTTGCAGTCGCTAAAGCTAACGGCAACGACTGCTGTTGCTGCCGCAGAATGCTGCGTTAAGGGTTCGAGTTTTGTTTTGCATCGTTTTGTTGCACGCATCGGACGAAATGTAGGCCAAGTTAAAAATGATTTAATGCGTTGATTGCGGCAGCTACATCTGCAGCCTGCTGCCTGCAGCTGCAGCGCCTCGGGGCTTCTGTGTGCCGATCGCAGCTGTGCCCTGTTTCTTATTTTCTTGCAGAATCTTTCCGATACATCAGCAGTGCGTGAGATTTATGTGACCCACTGCAACGTTCAACGTGCAACATGGCGTATGCGCAATATTTTCAAACGACTTGCAACTTCGTTTGCCAACAGCGCATTGACCCAAAACACACGCACACACACCCACACACAGGCGCACACAGATACAGCTTAGTTTAGAAAAGTTCGTTAAAAATAATTGCCAACCCTTGAGCGTGCGAAAAGCTCCTCCTTTTCAGCTGCAGTTGACGTCGCAGTTTTCCCGCTGTTGATTTCGATGCTTGGCAACCGAAGTCTCTCCACAAGTGTCCGCCTTACACAGCTAATTGGCTAAAAAATGGTTTACTTTCTCGCTTAGAGAGTCGGACAGAGAGAGAGGGAGTTTATCCTGTCGGTGCTGGCTCCTGGGACCGGGCCTGGCACAGGCAATCAAACAATACCATCAGCTGGCACACAACGGCGCCTTTGTATTTTAACACCTTCATCCAATTTCATTTTTGTTGCCCCTATTGTTGTTGTTGTTGTTGTCGTTGTTGTTGTGCCACATATTCGAGGCTGATCCTTGGCTGCGCTTGCTGTCAGTTTCGCCCTGGCTTAATTTATGGACTTTGGGCCATTTGCTCTTGCGCATCATTTTTGAAAAAAGTGACGACAAAACATTCCACAATATGACAAAAACAACAAAAACTAAAAAAAAAAACCAAACTTAGAAGAATGCAAAATCCCTCTTGGCAAAAAACTTTATATATGAAGAGAAGAAAAAAAAAACGCCATCAACAATTTAGATAAATTTTCCCACCAGCTATGGGCATATAAAAACAAAGAATCACCCCACCCCACCCCATAACCTATACGAGGGGTGCTCGGGCTTTGGCCAGGGCTCTGCCGAGGGCTGCTCTCTGGGTGCTGGGCCACATCCGCTATGCCAGATACCTCGGCACAATAATCACACTCTATGCACGATATCAAATGATAAACTCCAAGAAGCGCACAGATTCCCGAGTCCAGTATGACTGCAGCTTGCCTGAAGTTGATCCCTGCCCCTGCTGACCGCTGCCGCTGCCGCTGCCTCGTTCGCCTTGCAGCAGCCTCCTTTTCATGGATGTGTGTGCACAACGGCTCAGTGACGGCGGCGCATCCTTCAGGTACAACTTACTCATATATCACAAAAGGATATCGCGCTCTGTGTGTGCTTTTCTGCTTAGCTTTTTCCTAGTTTTTTCTTCAATTTTTTTGTCTTGTCTGGTCAGCGGCTCCTGCTCTGCTCGAAGGTGACACCGTGGCGCACACACAATGGCCATAGATGGTCTTTGCTGAAAAAAAAAATACAAACGAATATACATTAATACGAGCCAGTCGCAAAAAAAATCGAAATCAACTTATAAAAAACGCAATTTTATTTGTTGGTCTGCATTAAAAATGCAAATGTCGCATTGAGTTTCATTCTCCTTCCACTTCTCTGTCCTCGCTGATCATCCACTTCCTCTGCTCCTAAGATTTTTGGTAAACAACATTTGCAACGGCCAGCGAACCTGGTTGAACTTGGCTCAGCAGCTCCAACTCGTATTGATTCCAGATTCGATTCTGGGTTCGAATGAAAAAAACCAAATATAAATAAGATTAAAAAAAACTACCCCATCATACCCTGTATAAATAAGAATCCAAAATAGCCAGAAATCAAATAAGAGCAACAATGAGGGGGAAACAATTAATTAATTTGTTTTAAATACGCAATTGCCAAATAATTTTTATTATTAATTTTAACCCATACTTTTATAATGGAAATGGTTTTCTTGATTTTTTATAAATATATACTTATTATATATACTTATTTATAAAAAGAAATAATTGTTTTTGTGGCTCATAGAAACTCATTTAAATTTTACTTTTTATTTAGCTATTTATATCTAGATTTTCTTATCATAAATAAAAACAAATAAAAAAGGAAAAATGGAAATGGTTTTGTTAATAAAAAAAAAGTTTCTCAAATGAGAAAAATAAAATTTTATTTTAATTAATTTTGTAAATATAAATAAATAGTGTATAAATGAAATAATATTTAAAATCAAAAAATATACATTATTTCGTTCTTTGACTGTCTGAAAAAATTACCAGGTCAAATTTGGATTATTCAATCTTAATACTCTATAAATTGTATAATGCTCGATATAATATCCTATTTTGGTTGATATAGTCCATAAGACCTGCTCCATTCTTTTCACGAACCGCGCAAGTTTTTCATACTCTGTAAATTTTTCACAAGACATTTAAACTTTATCGCGTATCTCTGGAGCGCTAAGGAGCTGGCAAGACAACAACCACCACCAGCAGCAGCAGCAGCAGCAGCAGCAGCAGCAGCATCACGAGCAGAGCGAGCACCAGCAGGAGCAGGAACGAGGAGCTGAAATTATCATCAGTGCTCAATAAGTTTTGGTCACTGGACAATGTCCATCCTTTTGTGTCCGTCGTTGCCGAGAGGTTCAGGTACATTCGAGTACCTCTACCTACATTCATTTGAATGGAGACAAGTCCCTGCGTCCTTTTCGTGCTCGCGACGATCTTTGGTCCGATCCTTTGTGTGGCCAAGTGCGCCGCTGTCTGCGTCGCTGCCCCTGATGTGCTGCTGTTGTTGTTGGTGGTGGTGGTGGTGGTGCTGCTGCTGCTGCTGCTGCTGCTGCCTCTGTTATCTGGGGAATGAAACTGAAAGCATGCAGAAAAAGTTTTATTATGCGAGCGTCGAGCGAATCGGCAGCAGAAAAATGCGATTTTTTTTTATATAAAAATATTTGGAACGGACGGACTACGGCTGCCATGTGGAAGGGTGGAGAGTGCGGCAGGGGCACCACCACCACCACCACCGCCGGCGCATGGGGTAAGATTAGGGCCTGAACGGCGGCTGCGG